GTTAAAATTTTAATAAAGGTTGTTAGTTCCCCTATTCAGGCAAGGTGCATGCAGGACGACGATGCCAAAACAAAGAACTGTTACTCTGCCACGCGTCGGAAAGGCGGCCGGGCGACGCGCAGCCCGCCCGCTCAGGAATCGCGTGGGTGGTGAAAGCACGTTTTTGGACAAAATATCGCCTTTTTATACAGTCAGCTACATAAATGTTAGATTTATCTCTGTATACTTTCAATCTTGAATACACATTATTAACAAATTCATCAGTTCATATTTTTGTAACCCAAAACGTTTATAAGCTTCTTAAATGTAAGTTATGCAGCAGACTGTACATTTAGTTAAATTATCAAGCAATAGCAGGTCTCGGGGTTTTACCAAAATGTTAAAAGCATAACTTGAACCAAAAACATGGTTCCACCAGCTATATTTATAGGTAAGAAGAGTTCTAGTCCTGTGTGGTACAAACATGTATAAACAGACCTGAATCTCGCAAAGGTAGACAGGCTCCATGATCCTGGGCTTGGCGGTCAGCAGACACGCGTACAGACATCTCCTGGTCGTCGGAATGATCTGGCCGCCACCTCTGTGCCATACAAAAAATAATGTTATAATTTCACAATATAAATCTATAAGAAACCACTGGGTTTCTATCATTATTTTTGACTAGCTGTTCCCATGCGGCTTCATACATATTTCATAAAAACTTTGTTGCTTCTATTTCATAAAATATTAAGAATTCAAACGCTTGACTGTTGTTGAATGAAATGCAAACACGACAAGCTTTTCACAGGTATTTTTTTCAATTTACTCACCCCCTAAGTTTAAAAGCTTGATAATATATATCCTATAGCGTGTCGGAAGTGTAAGGCTGTTTATTAATAATAGGGGAATTCTAAAATATGTTGTGATTGTTGACATCTTACATAACAAAGTATGTGTTGCTCTATTATGTTGATATAGATAGATATAGAAATACGATTTTATTTTATTTATTAAAATATTTTTTTTTATTTATTAATTTATTAAAATAATAGAAGTTAAAGTATGTAACAAACCTGTGGATAGCGTCCGTGTGCAGCGTAACATCATAGATGTTGAAGCGGACACCTCGCAGGTTCTCCTCCGCCATGACACCCTCCTTGGTGGCCCACTGGAAGCCTGCCACCACTGAGTCCTTGATCTCGTTGAGGTACTGCACTCCCTTGGAGCAGTCCACCAGAATGTTGGGGCCGGTGTCCTCGGGGCCGAAGCACCAGATCTTACGCGCCTCCGTCACATCGTACTGGTATTTCTCGCCCAGGTAACGGGCACGGGTCTTGAAGTCGTCACGCGGGTTGACGCGGCCCTGGATCACAAATTATTATCTTGTATTTAATTTTATTTGACAAATAAGAAAGATATAACCAGAATTCGACAAATTCGCGAAGCAACGGTGTTGCCTACCTTTAATTAACATAGGGAAAATCTATTAATGCTATATTTTTTTTATTGAATTAAAAACAGTATTGTCATATTACAAAAGTTTTATGTTTTCATCTTGAATAGTGGAACATAAAACGTTACAGGAAAGATGTAACAACTGTTTTTCGTACCCACCTCATCAATATCTTCGGGCAGACCATCAGGCATGGGCTGGGCCTTCATGAAGAGACGGTTGTGCTTGTTGGGCGACTTGGAAAGGCACATCTGGTCAGACTCCTCGTTCACAGTCTCACGGTACGACACCACGGGGTCAGACTTCTTGATGGGAATGCACGCGTGGTCTTCTTCCAAGTCCTGGCAATAACCACATAAAAAATTAAAACTTCATAATTATCAAACTTATTTTAGTCATTTTATTATTTATATGGAGGAGTAAACAAATCTTTCCATTGAAATTCCTTTTTCTTCTCTAAAACTTTTTGTTCATTTCAATATAATATTTTTGCTTGTGTATAGATATTTACCTTAAGACAGATTTCAAGATGCAGCTCTCCAGCGCCGGCGACGATGTACTCGCCAGACTCCTCGTTGATGCACTGCACCATAGGGTCCGACTTGGCCAGACGCTTCAGACCCTCCACCAGCTTGGGTAAGTCGGCGGGGTTCTTGGGCTCCACGGCAACACGCACCACGGGAGATACACTGAACTTCATGACCTGAGGTAAACATGTATTTGTTATAAGTAAAGATCAGTAAAGATATTACATGTATAAATATGGCTATCAAAGTTTTAAATGTAATTACCAATAAATTTTTGTATTTAATATATGTATCTCAAGATATGTTGCAAAATGCTTATAGAAAGCATCCTACCAATCCGTCGCGAGATTTAATTTATGTCCCTGTCTGCCGCCGGTGTATGCTATGTCAGTTTACCCAGCATCAATGGGACGTGTACTTAAAACTTGATCAAAAGTACTGATGGCACTTTCGTAAACCATCGTATGTTTAAAATATAAACTGTGCAATACTAATTTTAAACATTAATACGACTGTCATTAAATATGAAATACGATAGACAATCAAAATAGTTACAATTCTTTCAAATTCACACGGAAATTGTTACATATCGCGATTTTTAAAAATGCTAGATGTAAATCCCTAAATTGTGGCATACTATAGTCTTCGTAGCCGTAATTCAGAATTAGTAAAACTAGGTTTCTTAGTCTTTACTGCATCTTTTTGCTATGTATAATATTAAAATAAAATACAAAATGATGGTAAAAAGATGTGGGTACCTTCATGTTGTGCGCGTTCTTGAAGGTGGTGATGGTTCCTGTCTTGACGAGGAACTGGTCGACGCCGACCAGACCGCAGATGTTGCCGCACGGCACGTCCTCGATCGCCTCCACGTAACGACCCATCATCAGGATTGTACGCTGGATGGTCTTCTCGTACAGATCCTATAATAATACATTTTGTACATATGTTGCTAAAATATGATTTTAAAAATAAAATTAATAGACTAATCAATCGATTATAGATGTATGTTTGAAACTACATATCTCCAAAACGACTTGACAGATCTCGATGAAATTTGTCAGATGTAGACCATAGTCTGAATGAACAGGCTATTTAGTTTTGTAATTCAAAAACTAGTATTTAAGATAAGTGGTAAGGAATGTGTCGCGTGCGTCGTAGCGTGCAGTCCCGGGACATGAGGACAGCGGTCCTGTGCAGCGTTTAGACGCACGCGCAGTGCTCTGCTTCCCCGCCAGCCGCAGTCCTCATCGTGCGTGAGGCACGGAGCGCCGCACGCACTAAGACGCGGCACGTATTGGAGAAGGGGTATATATTTTAACCTACTTTATAATCATGTAATTTTCTCACCTCTTTCTTGCCGGGCTGGTAGTTAGGTCCCATGATGCGGCCCTTCTGTCCGGTGACCACGCGGCCGGAGAACACACGACCGAACGCGTAGAAACGACCCTTGTCCGAGGTCGGTACCATTTTGCTCACGTACATCATCAGAGGTGCTTCTGGGTCACAGTTCTGTTAATAAATTTAAACAATTATAATTACACTATGACAAATACGAAAATTTGGTTGGATATTTGTTATTACGCATCTTTTCTTTTAACTTTTGGAAATTAAATTGAAAAAATACAAAGTTCTTTCTTTCTTTCGACAAAATCGCGACCAAAAGTCAAGTCCAAATAAAGATATAATTAGGCTATTGTACTAGATAGTTTATCATGTTCGATTATTATGATCCTCACCTTGATACCGATAGCAGCCTCATCGTCCTGAGGTCCTTCGTACAACATCTCCATACGGTACTTCTGCGCCACCACGGGCGAGGGCAGATGGATGGCAATCATCTGAAGCAGCGCTTCACCCGCCGGCAACCAACTCCTCATTACAACCTGAATATGTACAAACAAATCCATTAAATAAGTGATATAAAATAAAACTGTGAACAAGAATGTTAATTTTTAGTAGAGATGTTTCTAACATTTATGGGGTCACAAGTAATGTAAGCTTGCAACCAATTCCAGAAAGAATTTTACTGTAAGTCCACTTTGACACCCAGAAACTTAGGTAGATAGTAACTGGCAACACTTGGGACTAGAAGGCTAACGGGTTCCGTAAAATACTGCCAAATAAAAAGGCTAGAGATTCATAATAAACATTTTTCCTTGGAGGTCGTTAATAGTCATTCAGATTTTTGGTATACTTGATTAATTAAATAAAGGTTATAGTTGTAAGTTTATTTACCTTAAGCAGAGCTTTGCCGTCCTTGTCAGAGTCCTCGTGTTTGAGTGTGACACCGAGCTTCTTGAGGAGACCGTCGATCTCCTCCTTGCGGAAGTTCATGATAGCGTCGAACACCTTGTAGATGGGGTCTAGCACGTACATGCAGAACGAACGCTTGTTGTCGTTGTCCTTCTGTTTGGACCACTTCTTGGTCTTGGCATTGAAGAAGTTCTCTCCCCATAGTCTATAAAGAGAATTAAACTGTAAAATTCATAATCTATAGATATGAAACAGTAGAATCGATTAAATTTTTTAGATATAACTGTATCACAGTAATTGTTGAAAAATGCTTATCGAAAGCATCCTACCAATCCATTCTGAGAATTTATTTTATGTCCCTGTCTGCCGCTGGTGTATGCTATGTCAGTTTACCCAGCATCAATGGGACTAAAATTACACTTTATTTTAATTTTTACTAAATATATTATCTATATTAGATAACATCTATTAATTTTAAGTAAGCGAAAACTATACTATTAAGGATTGAGGGGTCTTATATAGCTTATGTAATAAAACAGCCAGCAACAATACCCTTAACCTACATAGCTAAGCTCAGATACTGTTAGAGGTTACATAGAAAATCAATAGCTTGACCTACTGCACTACAAAAGGGAAGGGGATATGGAGTAGGGGGGTCAATAGGAAAGGCAAATATCACTTTTATATGCACCCCTTTCTCCACAGTCAATTGCATGTGTCATTGCCCATGTCTATGGGCAGTGGTCGCCTGATATAACGGCGAATTTACGTAGTCACTTGCTTATATGCAAAAATGCATTATACATAACAAATTCTAGACTACTAGATAAATAATCAACAAGAATTATTTGGTTTAGCTTTTTAATACTCTACTATCTGACACGTCAATCTGTGCATACCTGTTCATAAGTTTGACAAGGTCAATCTTGAACTTGTCAGCATACATCTCCGAGAACTGTTTAAGGGTGAAGGCCCAGCCGTGGAGCCCGGAGCCAAAGCCCACTGAGCCCTTGCTGGGGTCCACACGCACCTCACCTGAACAACAAATATTACTTTAATAAAAATAAATCCTTTTACACATGCATGACATAAAACTCAAAGTTGCTGAAAAAATTTAGTTTTTCATAAAAAAAATATATAGAAATCAATTACAGATTTCAAATGTAATGTGGATATGAATATATTTCGTAATAATTGAAATATAGAAATATTCTTTGACCTTTTTGTTAGTGTTTCTTGATCAGTCTAGTATTTAAATATAATGAGAATGTCTGTATAATCTATGTTTATTTTTAAACATATGTTTATGTTTAAAAACAAAATAAAAAACTTTTCATCACCACTTAGCATCAGGGTTGGAACTTTATAAATAATGAATAAGTAAGATGTGCAGACCCATATAGCAGGAAGAACACAATTGTTTGCTGTACCAAGATTTGCTATAAGTCCACATTTAAACCATATGTTTATATGTATAACCATATGGCAAATAACTGGGACTATATTAGAATAAAACAGACTGATCTATACTTTGAAAGCGCGATTTGTAAGAGCGGAATTAAAGAAAAGCATAGTAAGCCCTTTATATTCTTTCCAGTCTGTTCTACATCTGTGCCAAATTCCAGCAATATATATTTAACTTTTCCTAAGAGATGTAACAAACTTCCGTGGAACAAAAATTTCGCATTTATATTTGTAAGTAATATAGTTATTATATTAACTTCAACGGTTTATATTTAAATGTAGTTCCAGCACGTGGCATACTGCGCGTGACCTTGGCAGTGGTATCGATCGTTGCATCACGTGCGACGCCAATGTGCCGCTAATGTGCTAAAATATACCGAATCACGTTTGATTACCTTATCTCATTTAAGTGATATTTCGGATATAATATTAGTAAGGTTACGGTGCGATATTTTATTTATTTTTTTATTGTTGCATAATATTTTTTGGTCTTTGTTTTACTTTGATGCACATTTTGAAGCGATACCTAGATAGTTTAGGTAGTTGGGGATTCATTCATACAAAAATTAACTGTCATCTCAGATAGATTAACATGTTCTTGTATGATACATCTGGTTTTATAATGGAAATGTGAAAAAAAAAAAATGATAATATAGTAGCTGATAATACAGGTAAGGGCAAATTCAACAATGTCATTCCTATCTTATCTTATATTTGTAAGTACTGCATTATTATATGCTTTAAAAACAAAGTACATACAATAAACGTTATTCCATTATATTCAAGATGTTTCATAGATTTTAATTATAAATAGAAGATTTACTAAAACAGATTACCACTAAAACAGTCAGTTAACACAGTACAGTAAGTTCTATGACTCAAGATTGACCTAAAAATAGTAAAGTGCACTTACCCATGGGACCACCATCGTCATTGTAGGTGGCGATAATAACGTTGACGTTTTCAACAATACGCTGGAATGTCTGGTAAAGCTCTTCAGATTCAAGCTGCAACTCGAGCAGGGCACGGTCCATCTTGTTCATGAAGAGAATTGGCTTGATGCGCTCGGCGATGGCCTGACGCAGCACTGTCTCCGTTTGCACACACACACCTGGTACATAAGAAATTGTTATATCATCACCAGCTCACTATATGTCCCCACCGAGGGGCTTGGAGCTTACCCTAAGTAAGGGGTGACTAGGCCATAGTCAACCACACTGGCCAAGTATGTTTCACACATGTCTTTGAATTTCTTGTTATGAATCAGTTGGATAAATTTAATATAATTGATTATGTAAATAGATGGTTAAATGTGGCACAGAAAATATAATAACTTGATAACTGATCTGCATTTTGTGTATACAAGGTTGGCTAAAAAGTGTATTATTGGCTTTGGATTTTTAATAGCACTTTCATAATATTATAATTGTACTATGCTCGAGATTCTAAGTTTTTCATTGTGGTGCAATAATTAAATTACTCATTGTGCAATTTAGTACTAAAATGCAACTTTATGCCACATCAGCAATTTCTTTACTTTCACTTCATATTAGGCATTCTGATGAGTTCTAGAAGCACATGGTGTTTTAAATAAGGGTCTATAGGGGTTATTTTAAGGTTAATGATAAGATACCATCTTTTTGTTCTTAAATGAGTATTCATAACAAAGACTTATTCTTACATTTGATTTTACCAGCAACACTGAGCATAAAAAAGTAACCCATGCTCTTCCAGACTGTTCTACTTCTGTGCCAAATTTGATCAAAATCAATTAAACCATTCTGGAGATACCTTCTAACAAACATCCATCCATCGAACATTCCAAAGCAATCTATTGTGAAATTTTACATAAAGCAATGGAAAATAGAAGTATGGGTTACTTACCGGAAACACAGTCAACAACCACCAGGGCTCCATCAGTTACACGGAGAGCAGCTGTTACTTCGGAAGAGAAGTCAACGTGTCCAGGCGAGTCAATCAGGTTAATCAAGAAACCCTTTTCACCCTTTTCTCTCTGGTCAGTGTTTGTGATGAAGACCAGATCCTTCTCTTCAAGTTCAAAGAACATAGAGATGGCACTGTTGGAAAATATTATGAAATTATTAGTATACTTTTACAGTTATGTTATTTTTTTTTTTTTTTAGTTGAGATAGTCAGATGGCCGTTCTGAAGATCTTCAATGAAATTCAGTTAGTATGGTAAGAACAATCATCATGAAATTATTATCAAAATTGATAATTTGCATATGTTTTATATTTAGAACGAATTTTTAGTTACATACAAAACAGCTGATAGCATTTTTTAACGTATTTATGGCAAAAAAGTTGTACTATTTCACAAAGTGGTGTAATCACATACCATATGGTTTTTGTTTATTTAATGAAGTGATATTAAACAAAATTGTCTCAAATGGTACTCACGTGGATTTAATGGTGATACATCTGTCTTGTTCATCTTTGCGGGTGTCGGTGAAGCGTGTCTCGCCGGCCCTGGCGTTCGCGATAATACCGGCTTTGGACACCAGGGAGTCTGTCAATGTCGACTTGCCGTGGTCTACGTGGGCGATGACGGACATGTTGCGGATATTCCGCTTCTTGTCCATCATCCCTCTGATCTCGTCTACCGTAAAATTCACCTGCATAAACCAGAAAACAGCTTGTCATATTGTTACGCGATACGACCACTTTTTAAGTTTTGAAATTTATTCACGCACGTTTTACGTTTTTCATTATTCCGGTTTTCACCCTTTTTATAAAATTATTAAACCAATTTGCATATTTCTAACCCACACAACACTTCGACATTTCACCTCACTTTGAAAACGTCATCCGACACAAAGACGGTCGACGTGAAGAAACTAAGTTTTATTTTAAGATTTTAACACTAAATTCGTAAAAATAATGATGTAGAATTATGCTTAAAGAATACCGTTACACAATTTCAAGTTAAATTAACAATTTAAGTACTCACCATATTGGATGGTTTTTGATTTTTCTGTCAATAAAATATACTACGTTACGCCAGTGATGGCGTACGCTTGAAAAAGGCCCCTATTTTCTTTAGTGGCCCGGATGTACCTGCCAGACGTCAGACGACGTTGAATGCATAGACAATTGGGGCTGCCAGTGATAAAACATGAAAAATAACCGATATTTTAATAAAATATGAAAAAGACAGGACCTTGCAGCTTGTAGATTATCATATTTACCAAAAAAATGATTGTTGTGATCATAAAAATATTATTTTAAAGTAGACGTTTAAAAAAGAATTAAAAAGTTCCGGTTGAAAATAATGCCGACGCTAATAGATGGTAGTTGGCAACATTGCATAATACAAGATTTAACTATTCGTCAATAGATGTCGCATCAAGTAGCAGCAATTTTTTCCTCAAACATTTTAATTTTTAACTGTGTTAAAGATCGTCATGGAAGGGAAAACTATACTTCAATCATACGCGTAAATAAAGAAGACAAAAATGCTTATTAAATAAATACAACTTGGTATGATATCCCACTTTTACTAAATATTATGTTCATTGTTGCGATATAAATTATCATAACGATTGGATGTGACTGGCAAGTTTTGGCGGGCAAATTGGTTATTGGCGTGCGAACGCTTTTTCCGAGAATCTGTGGTGCAAGGGTGTCTATTCCCACTAGAACGCAGCATCGTCGTGAGGGTAAATTTTTTCTTGGCATTGTCACAACGTTTCGATTGGTTGACCTAAATTTGATTCACAGAATATTGTATCTTGAACAGAATTAAAGATTTTACGATTTCAATATCTACAAATAGCTTCTTCACATACATAGTTCATCTCTATCTTGATGTGGACAACTCAGTTTTGATTTATAATCAATAGTTTTAACTTACCTTAGGGGCTATTATACAAAGCGTTTAAGTGAAAATTCATTGACCGAGTTAAACTAATGAATGAATGTACCGTCGCTCTGTTTACAAAACAATACACTTTTATTTTTGTAACATTACGCATTGAGAGAGCTCAGAAGAGATAGATGTAACCCATCGACTCGAGTCCTGCGTCGGACCTGTGCCAGAGCAGATAAAGTGATGAGATATATGTTACGTGAATAAAATATGATGCAATGCAGCTTTACGGTTTTGTTATAAAATATCCTTATTTAAACTTTTCTTTTGTAAAATTATTGCGAGATGAAGTGGTACATTTTGTTTATTGGATTTCCACATAGGTGCTAATATTTACAAGAAATCGATATTTGTTTATGTTCAGGACCCGTCCATTTTACCGCATCTTATTAGCTTGTGGCTTGCTTAATTTTCCTACTTAATAGCGAGGCATAAACAATTATTCAAACGATTGTTTATTGGGTATATAGGTTTGGTTTTTTGCTGAAGATAGCTTAATAAATACGATAAAAATTTTACATGTAACTAATTTTTTTCTGAGAATAAAAGAAATAAAGCATAAAATGATAACGATGAAAACAAGTGGCTAGCGATGAAAGCAATTTTCCATGAATCACCGCTTTAAGGCGAACCATAAACAGTTCAAGGTTCCCTTTTGATTATTTTGTCAGTCTGCCAACGATACGAGAAATCGAAACTATCCCCGTCTGTTTTTATTTTTCTAACCATATGTTACTTTATTATACCGATTAATAAATAGTTTTGTAAATATTTATAAAATGTATACTTCAACTGATATAATAAAATACGTTTGTTTATTTAAAATTTATGATGGACCAGATTTAATAACAGCGCAAATGGTTTCATTTACGATTACTCTATCTAGTAATTTTAACGTAATGCAATCTTATATTCGTACAAGATATTGTCTTTTCAAATTGTAAGATGTTCCTAGCAAGTTATTCTATTATTCCTGGGATAGTAAGTTATTTATCATCATTATTAACAACCTGTGGTAGTTCATTGCTGAACGTAGGCCTCCTCTATCTAATGCAACAATACTTAGATCGTGCCGCCTGCATCTAGTGCTCTCCCACAATCTTGAGCAAGTCATAGGGTCCATCTTGCGGGAGCCCTACCTACGCTAATACGTGAATTATTCATCCGCTCTGTCACAATGACGTACATGAAGCAAAAGACACCTAATACCAACGTACGATGTGTACGATTCTATTTACATTCAAACCAATCAATAGGTGTACTAATATATTTTTGTACTGTTACTTAGTCACTGTTTTTTTTCTTTGAATTCTGATTTTAATACGAAAATGCTAAAATTTTTAGGTTATTAATTCTACTGGACGTCATAGTTAACTAATTACCACATTCGTTGCTTTACGTTTATTTAAAGAAGCTTCAAGTGTAAAATTACCTAATAGAAAGTCTAAACCAAAAATTCCGTATGTAGTAAGGCCTAATTTTATTCCTTTCCCTTTCCACCCTTTTCTTGAGAGGAAAAGATGGGAAGGAAAAGTGGATTTGACGGTGGAGGAGACGTATAGAAATGGAAAATTTCCTCTTTATGTGCGTCTCCTCCTCCGTCAATTAGGGTAGGCAACGCATCTGCGGATGTTTATGGGCAGCGGTCGCTTTCCATTTCAGTGGATTTAGGTGGCCGCTTGCCAGTTTGCCACCTAATATTATAAAAAAAAAAGCATTTCTAAATTTTACTAAAGCGATTTGCTAATATAATAAAAATATTGATTTTTGTTAAGCACATTTTTTGCATTATAATTCAATGAAACAAATCTTGTTATTGTTGGTTTCGTGCCAGTTCGCGTGGACAGATACACCCTCCCGCAACTTTCTGGCGACAGCTCTGGATGTTCTCGGAACAGCATCTTCTTCTCAGAAACACGAATACGCCGAGATGAGTCATATTAAAATTGTTAAGATAACGTTATATGTTTGAACATACGATTCAATACGTGAAATTACCATTAATTGACTTTTAATAAATCTTATTCCAGAAGTTACAAAAATTTTGGAAACTTTAAGAATTTGAAATACATTTGGTAAAACAAGAGTATCCTAATGGTTCTTTTGATTATATTTTGCAAGCAGTTTTTTCATAGACAGACAGCTTGTGTCGCCCGCAAACTTCGATAGCGTTTTGGACCACCCGTTACGCCATTTTGACAGCGCGTAATTAAAAGAAAGCTATAATATGCCTTCTCCTCCCTTCAGTGAAAGTCCGCTCGAAATCGGTTAAGCCGTTTCGGATATTACCCGGAACAAACGTAGCTTGCGGTCAGACAGACAAACCAAAAAAAAATAAATGCGATTTCCGTTATCAGCAACGCACATACATCATCTTCCCGAAATCTGGAATTTTTCTTTTACTAGTACAGACACTTCAATTTTATTATATCTATAGATTAAAAATCAATGCAAGATGTGACTGAGGAGGACGCATGGATAGAGAAAACAACCTCTTCTCCCGCGTAGATCAAACGTAGGAAACGTATCTGCTATGTATAGCGGTCGCATCTCAATTTCGGCGAATTCGGATAGACGCTTGTTCGTTTACCACTTTAATATATAATAAAAGTAGTAACGTTATATCTTTATTTGGCACAAAAATACTAGGTGTTTTTCCGAGTAGTTTTTGTATATTAGTCACAGATCCGCAAACGTCATTCGTTCACTTCATAAATTTGTTGAGCATCATTCGGAATCACTTCAATGAATTTAACGAGCGATGAATGAAATGTGTACACAATGCTATACAATAATATGCTTTATTTCAAATAAAAAAGCGTTACAATTGCATAAAATCGTAGATAGAAAGCGATCGTAGATACTAGTGGGACTATTGCCAGGATTTCTCGAAACTTATATATCGGTGACGAAATATTTTGCAATTGTAATGAAAAAATTATCAATTTTATTGTATCCTTTCGATACAGGTATTTTTTGTTGGCATAAGTATGAATAGTTATGTTATTTTTAATTGGGATGAGCCTAATTAAACGAATTTCCTTCCTTCCACTTGTATACTGGTTGTTACGCAGATATATTAGTTCGGCTCCGTAGGACTTAAAAATAAACAAACGTATTACATTTTAAAAAAATCCGAACAATATATAGGTAACTTATAGTAAACCAATAAGTAGCCTAAGGTTTCAATTAAATCTTACTCCTAAAAATGTGATAGTAAATGCGAATTAATATTAACAAAGATTTTATTAAGTTTGTTTTGGACGAGAGATCTCGAGGCTCGATTTATTTTAATTTTTAAATAACATTTATATCTGCTACACGCAAATTAGTCACTAAGGAACACACTAATATATATTTCCTATTTGTAGACACGTTACATTTCGGCCTCCCAACACTAGATGGCGCAGGTTGTATCTTATCGTTGTTTGATTTCGTATTGCAGTGTCAAAAGTGTTTTTATAAACTAAAACAAAACTTTACTTTAAGGAGTATATTTCGTTTAGGGTCATTCATTAGTAAATCCAAACTGCATTTGATTTTTTACTATGATTTAATGTAGTTTTTTTAAAAAAAACGACAACGCTTTTTGCAATTTAAAGTAGGTATTGTCGACAAGGTGACCGGTGAAGGAATATTTGACGCCGTGGGTTATACGCAATAGCGGTTGCACGTGCCGCAAAATTTATGAAAACTACTTTTATTCGTATTAAATTATACAAGAGGTAGGATTAATAGCGGTTACAATGTTCCAATTGTTTCTTTGTGAAATAAATGTAAATCTCAGATAATGATTTCTAAAAGTTTAAAAATATAGCTCTAACATAGAGTCACAAAAAGTACGTGTTTAATTAAAAATTAAATAAAACACTGATTCATAGCCAAATATAATTCAAAAGTGTTAAGAAACATAAATTTAGCTTGAGGACAACCAGCAACGAACAAAAATATCGTCGCCTAAAAAAAATTAGCTCACAGGTGTTTGCATAAAAAAAAGAAAAACATTTAATTAAAAAACAAAGTCAGTCCCTAGCAACAGCCAGAAATTAAAATAAAATTTTGTTTTTCTGGTGTTTATGTAAGTTACCAGGTATATTTTATTTTTATGTCAAGGAAGTCGTGCTTTTTTGTAGCGTTGAAAAAGTTTACATTTTTTGTCTTCACGAAATAGATTTTAATTCGGTGCAATAAG